AGGAGCTGGAGGAAGTGTCTGGAGAGAGGGAAGTCTGGGCATCTTTGCTTAGACTGCTGCCCCCGCGACCCGGTTCTGGCTAAGCGGAGGAAAATGGATGGATGGAGGTGACAATGAGGCACTAGAACACTTCAGTTTATTCAAGTATAAAGCTATTTACAACCCTAACACATGAATGTAATTTTACACCATTTGTTCAGTGTGTTCCACTAAGCATTTACTTTAAATGGCAGGTCTATTTTCCATTCCATGCAGCAGATGGGATTTTATATCACAGCTGCAATACTACAGTCAGTGCTGAGCTTGGTTATTCATGTTTGGCTGCAGTATGGTTGCCTTGACCGAAGTTAATCACATGACAGCACGACATCTCTCCATCACAGACAGTCTTCTCTCCATCGTCCCCATACAATCTCAAACACAGGTGCATCAGTGAAAGACAGTGTGCTTGTACTTGGTGTTGGGAATTTGATCTCGGCTCTTTAGTCTCCTCACTGCTTCCCTCATATGTTTGGGTTGAAGAGGTGGCGTATCTCCCCACTTCTCACAAACATCCAGTGCTGGAAGGACAAAGAAACTAAATGGTTGTAAACAATTTAGCTGCAGGGGAAATGAGCCAGGGCTTATTTATCTATATAAAAATTATTTTGTCAGAATACTTTTGTAACTCTCACCTTCCTCAACAATTTCCCCAGCAAAAACTTTGGCAATACCAGACATGGCGATCACTACATTCTGAGACACTGATGATCCTGTTATGGACTGGATCAGCTACAAAATGTTTAAAAAAAATAGAAGATCAAACCAAATAGCTTCAAAGAATTAAAAACACTAGTTTGTCAATATTCATAGACAGCTTACCCTCTTAATAGCAGCCTTGGGGAAGGCAGAACGTCTGTACATCTCATAGCGATTCAGCTGCTCTTCAGAAAAGGATGATACCAAAACCCTACAAGGGAAAGCAGGGAATGATGGTTAACTTCACCAGGATGATACTTCAGCACATCATTTCAAGCATTGGAATAATCTTCATTGGTTAACATTTTTAATCTCTAGAAATTAAAATCTTACTGCATCTTTTGTATTTCATCCTCGTCAACCTTATGGCGTTTCTCCTTCTTCTTCTCGGGTTCGACCTTCAGTCTTTTGGAAGGAGGTTGGCCAGAGGTCCCTTCTTCCTCATCTTCTCGGGCTGCAGTTTCCTTTGTGGTGGGATAAAGGAACAATTTAGTGCCACTAAAAGCAATGAGATGCCCTTTGTAAGACCACATGAATACTGCCACGACAACCCCGTCATGTGAAGAGAAATGAAGGTGCAGAACTCACAGGTTTAACTTCCTGTTTGGGCAGATCTTGCGAGGACAATTGTATATTTTCATCCTTAGGTTTTTCTGGGGCAGACACATCTTCAGTTTGTTCTGGTTTAAGATTGCCCTCGGTAACAGACTTTATCCTCTCGGGTGTATCTTCAGCTTTGATCCGTGCAGGGTCGGCCATAATCAACTCAGTCCTTCTAACACTGGCTGACAGCTTCTGCAAAACTATCAATGAGGTAGTTGATTGGTTAACGTTAGTTGTCATGCTGGGTTCTATACACGGTTCGAAATGTAGCAAACATTCACGTTAGCACACATATAAACAGAGGTATAACTGGAAACCTCCAACAACGAGTATGTGTAACTTGATAAAAACACACGAATTCAACTTGCACCCACCTTCTCTGCAGCCAGGCGTCAATAAAGCAGCTGCTCCAAACTACAGTGGAGGGGCGCTAACGAAAGCTTAGTAACTGATACTAGCTAGCCAAGCGGCTAACATGACGCATTTATATCGCTTGCTTTAGTAAACACAAAAAACTAACACTGACACACTGTGAATTACACTTAAGCCTCCTTATGTGACGATGAATGATAGCAGCAAATGCTAGTTTTCGATAGCATAATACCCAAAATGCCCTTCCGCTATATCGTCGTCGTCTTCGTCTTCTTCTTCTTCTGTTTATTAATGGCGGTTGGCAACCAGCTTTAGGTGCATTCCTTCCGCTATGTTCTTCTTCTTGCTCTACTTAGGCAAACAATGTGATGGTGAGTTGCCACGTGATGGACGGTGGATAGTCATAAATAGTCATAATCATAAATGTATGAAAGGTTAGTAATACATTTTTTTAAATATATTTATTTACTTTTAATTAAAAACATGACTGTGTGCTTGTGCCCTAGCGCCCTCTAGTGCATACAGGTCGAAAGTCATGAGAAACAATCAGTCTAACTACAGCCATAATGTATACTTGTATTTCTGTATAGCCATCATAAATTAAGATGTTAATCTTACCTTAGTTTTTTTTTTTTTTAATGAAGGTACCAGTATGCAGGGCTTCTGATAGTACCCCAGGGAGTAGGCAGTCTTAATAACATAACCACTGGAACTTTAAAGTGACCATAAAATTCAGGGTTTGTTTTTTCCCCAGTCTCCAGGCATTACAGCTCATGTTATTACAAGTTACAATAATTGTACCAAAAACAATACAAGACACTAAAGACAATGATTAAAAACTGAGCACTGTGACATATTTGGCCACACATTAAATACAGAGTCAAAAGAGTAGAAAAATGACATCAATTAATACATTTTAAATTCAGACCTTGGAGATAAGGTCTCCAGTTTTTTATGAATGTGTGCAGTGTGCTTCCATATTCTCAATACGAATGTCACCTCAGGCTGCCTCAGCCTTTCTCTTCATAGCTGCTCCCTATTTATAATTGTGTGAACATTTTGTTCATTAATTAGACTATTCACAACACTTTCAAAAATCCATTTTGTGTACTTTTCATTTTTTAAAAGAAATTGTCTACATTCTTGTTTTTTCATGAAATCACATGACACTGATTGCAACCATTTGCATATTTAGCATTGCAGTTCTGAAGTGTTATGGAAATATTAAGTGCTAAACCCTTCCATAAAAATGAGTCACCATGCAGCCTTAAAGAATTAGTGCATATTCAAAACTAATGATATGAGAGCTAACAAATTAGAAATGCATCCACTTAGACTAATCTTTTCTTTTGAAAAATGATCATATTCATTTTCAGTATTTCATTTTGTTAGATTATGGCCAAATGTTCCATGGTGTACTCACGTTTCCCACACTGTATTTCACTGGGTGTGCATCATAACTAGAATATACATTCACTTTGCTATAACAGATTACAGTGTGTGATTTATGTCACAGCAATCACATATATTATGAATTTAACAGTTACATCTGATATATGCAAATTGATATAAGGTTATGAAAGAATATCTAAAAATATCAGTAGCCTATTACCAACCAGAGAAGGTATAGGCAAAACTAATGTTAGAGCAAAGATAAAATAAAAAAAAAAAAAAAAAAAAAAGATGCCACGTTCAATTGTTTCTCAAAAAGGTAACAGCTGATGAATTAGCCACATGTGATGAGTCACAAACTGCCAGAGCAATGCCTTGATTCGTCAAAACGATTGCTGTCAACAATCACAAATATGTCTCACTGACTCACTAATGCTGGCGTGACACTCATGAACGAGCTGTTCCGTGTCCAGAGCGCGCTAAACTCGTTCACACTTGCCTGGCTGTGACCGGAACAAGACAAATGCGCGTGTGCAACGGACCGCACAGCACGGAAGCAAACCCCAATTGTTCTGTATGTGTGCGTACGTGCGTGCGTATGTGTGTGTGTGTGTGTGTGAGTGAGTAAGTACAAAGCTATCAACTAGTTGCTTCAGCTGTGCAGTTGATTAGTAGCAGACCTCCACCCAGCTTCTACCAGGCTGGAGGTCTAATCAGGTTGCATTTCATCTTGTGAACAACAGAGTGTTAACATTTGTGTTTAGGAAGCTCAAAATGTTTTTTGTGAAATTGTCATACGTGTATAAATTCAGTTATATGCTTATTATTGAGGTCATAGTTAAAGGTGTTGTTGTTAATGTTCCACATTACATCTTATTATTCTACATTTTTGTCCTCCCCAGCTACATAAATGAGAGGGTCAGATTATTAGGAACACCCAGTTAACCAGTTAAACCACAGTTCAGACAACCATCCCCGTTTAAACCTGATAACATTTTAGGAAATGCTCCTGTTCACACACCCATGAGAGAATTTGACACGATTGTCTGGCAAGCATTTCCAGGAAGCCTTCATTAGTGATTGATGAAAAGTAAAACGTTAGGTTTGCAATTTTGTTGCAGATACTAGAAATGACAGGAGAGCAGACACTTCAAGCTCTGGATAGACACAATCCCCGTCCCCCCCCGTCTGGGTTACGCAGGCTGCACCAAACGCCATATTGCTTATGCACATCCAGCTCATGTCCGGAGCAGCTAGGGTGGGGGTGCTAGGGCTGGTGTGCGTGTGTCTGAAGGGTTTCGGATTGGAGATGTAGAAAGAAAGGGCAGTTTCGAGGAAGTGACGGACTCGGTAGACGGGACTGGTCAGAGGAAGTTTACTCGATGGTGGTACCGTGCTGCTTAACGAAAACTTTTCCCCCTGAGCGCCGGTGGCACCGTGGATCGAAACGGACCGATCCAGCGGTGAAGGGAGCTTTTGTTTCCTCGCCACACCAGCGTTAACGTTACTCAGGAATAACTTGGGATTGGGAGGGAGAGGGGATCTCAGGGGAATTTCACTCTCGCAACCAAACCCCGCTTTCCCTTCTCTTCCCCGCGCCTCCTCCAATCTTTTTTAACATCCGCAATGGGGAAGGAGCAGGAGCTCCTGGAAGCGGCGCGCACGGGAAACCTGACCGCAGTGGAGAAGCTTTTAGCCGGGAGGCGACAATCATCCGGCACCGGGAGTGGATCTACTGGGACCGGAGGAAGCGGCAACATCGGCGGGCTCGGCGCCTCCTCTCATCCCCTTTCCAGTCTGCTCAGGTAGGTAAAAGAAGAAGCGGATATAAGTGGATGGAAGAGAGCCAACCCTGTCAGATGTTGTCTGATGATTTATTGTTATAGATTGTAATGTAGTATTTTAATACTCGTAGCTGTTACACAGAGTGAGGATTTTTGCATAGTCCAAGCATCACAGTCGTGCAACGCAGGAGCAGGGGCACGCTTCTTTGTTAGCTCGCAGCTCTGTTCCAGATGTACTGTAATGTGCAAACCCGGCTTGCAAGGCGATTTTGGATGTGCAACAAAATCGCTCATGGTCTCTTTAAAAACTGGTCCAGTTGTATTACTCTAGACATGAACACTCACTGGTGAAGGTGAATAGGTCGGAACCAGACTCTCAGTTTTCAGCTGCGTGTTTATAGTCTGGACATCTTTGCTTTGCTTTTCTAACGGCTTTAGTTGCAAAATCCCATTTGTTTCCTTCAGTTGTGGAGCTGTAATCTTGCAGATGTCAGTGGTAACAAGGGGAAGTCCTTGGTGATGTCAACATTTGATGTGGTTCTATCCCTGAACACAAAGTGTAAAAGGTTAGAAAGCTTTAACTGCCTTGTCAAGGTTTCTGCTTATCACCAGTGCTTTTTGTCCTGCTCACCCTTCATTCATTATTTAAGAGTTCCAATTCATAGATAAGACAGCAACTACAGTGACTATACAGTATTTGCCATCTTCGCCCATATAGTTCACATATCTGTAGTGTGTTTGATTTGTAGTGCTGGTTTACAGAACAGCACACAGTTGCCTAAAATGGAAGATAGTGGCTTTGCTAATAGGCCCAAGTCCCTGTGGTTACTGTTTTTGATAGTGCAAGACTGCATCAAATTCATAACTGCATTAAGAAGAGATAAGGGTGCTTGGGCATAGGATGAAATATAATAGATCAGATAAGTTCTGAGTTTCATTTTGTTCTGCAGATGTTATCTGAATTATAGGTTTACCACTGCAGGGCTGTTCCGAAACACTATGATGATGTTTCAGCCACTGTGCTTTGTGTAATACCAAGAAAGAAAGAAAGAAACAGATTTACTGTTGAGAAGAAAGCTACTTTCTAAGGCTACATATGTGTCTGACTAGGGATGAAAGTGAGATAAAACTCATGGCCAGGTTAAGTGCTGCATGTCAAAAGCATACCTGTTTGAATGCCGAGCACACACAGATGAATGTCTGTCAATCAAAACATAATACTGCTCCTTGGGGAGCCTAGAGCAAGGCCCCTCCATCTGGGGGACAAGTGTTACAGTGAAGCTTGAGGTGATGCATTGTCGTGTTACTTAGTGCAGACTGTACAAGGTACTCAAGGTAATTACATTAAACCCTTCTAATCAGAAATCCAATTCAGAGATGTCATGCGGTCGAGGCTGGCTTCCTCACAGATCTGTGGGCGGACTGAAGAGCCCATTGTGTCATTTATCCTGAGTTGAGCAATCAATGTTTGGCAATGGTAGCTCTGGGAAATTATTGGCTAGACTTTGCAAGAAAAGAATTAACTAGTAGTACATATACTTAGAAAGCCTGTTGCCTGTGGACAGCAGAGATTATAGGACAGACTTTCAGAATATAACAAGTGGTAAGATTATTGACCTCAGGGCAGACTGGGGGGCTGCTGCTAGTGTGGATGTCATTTGATTTAGTCTGCATAATCAAAATGTCAATACATCTGAGGGTGTCCGAGTGAATTACTGCACTGGTACTGGCTGTGGATTGATGTGTGCGTTTCTTCCCCAGATCTCTTTGTAATGTAGTCATCATCCATTGTTAGAAGGTGTTGCCTTGTAATCCTGTCAGAGCGGATATGGTCTGTAGCACAGCTTTCTTTAGCAAATTTGAGCCTGTGTTGGTTGTAATGTCATCATATAGAAAGGGATGTGTGTTATTCAGACTCCACTATATTCCACTGAATTACAAGTACATTAACTTATATGTGTGTAATAGAACTTTAAGTTGGTTTATAAACAGCCAGTTAACAGCAATGGTGTTATAGCAGCATATTAGGTCTTATTGCTGTGGATAAGGTCAATAATAACTAGCTGGTTATTATATAGGCTGGAACCACAGCCTGTACAGAAGAATGCTCCGATCTAATTGGCTTCATTTCTCTTTTCTGAAGGTGTGTTGTTTGTGTGTTTTCATTGGATTTGTGGTGTTCTTGCTCTGGAATGGGCCACATGTCAAGACTTGCTGTGTTTGTGAAACCAGGCAGTTGTATGGCTCTGCTCTGCGGAATGTCAGCTTTCCCAGGAGGCTGCATCCCAGCGGTTGCCACGGGATAGACACTGACCCTTGCATGTTTAATACTGTCGCCGCCCCAATTGTTTGCTCTTTGGTGCTTTTTTAAAACCAAAACGAGTTGGAGAGGACTTCCTCGAGTAGTAAGGTCATGGTGGAACCTTCGTAGCTCTGGGTGCACTGGTAGCTGTAGCTTGGTTGATGCAGAAGTAAGCTTGAAGAGTTGATACTGCTTTTTTGGAATCCATACTGTGGCCTATTTTAGGGTATACATTTGCTGTTTGATCTCAATGCCACAGTTTTTACTAGGGTCCTGGGGCTTGTTTTGATCTCCATGGTCTACAGGAAGCGCTCTTTACTAGCACTTCCTGGCCCAGGTTGTTTAAACACAGCCAGCTGCTGTGGTCAGGCCAGAGGTAAGCCAAGTGTGTGGCAGGGAGAGTGCCTGGCTGCTGAGGGGAAATTAACTGAGGAATGCATGGAGTTCTGGACAGATGCACTGAGAGCATAGCCAGATGAGGGCTCCTCTCCCAGCTTCACAGCCACGTCCTTTGTGCCTCTGACAAAACGCAGAATGATGTCTTTTCATATTCACATCATGCAGTCTCTAAAGACCATTCCAGGCCTTTTCTGTACTTTTCAGTTTCACAAAGCCGATTGAGCTGTCATTTGGATAGAACCGGACCTCCTATTTAGAGCAGCCCACTCATGCAGACCGCTTCCTATATACTAGATTGAAACAAGCAGGGCTTTTGCAACACTTGGTGATAAAGATCACTTTTGATTCTCTGTAGCATGCTTTTCAAAATGCTAGCAAGGGAAGCATTTCTATCAATGTGATGGCTTGCTTAGCATTTTAAGTGGCTTGGGCACCAGTCCAGATCAGTCCATCCCATTTCACCCCAGGCAGACCCGTGCTGTCAGACTGGTGTCAGCTGCAACAACTAACACATACTGTCCTTTTAAAAACAAAGTTCCCTGTTGCTGTGGTCTGTTTGGATCTGTGTACATGTCAAAATCACTGAGTGTGAAGGTGCACTGTAGGACTGTATGTGTCTGCAGATGACAGGCTTACAGTGGGAATGCAACACCCTCACTCCTCAGCTGCTTCTTGTAGTAGCAAACTGTCTCGCTCTGTGCTGCTGGTGCAGGAAGTGTTAACATGGCAGTTCCTATGACTTGTACAGCAACGTCAAGAGCCTCACATCATTCTTAGGTACAGTAGGTAAAACAGGCAAACAGCAGACCTGGCATTCACACTTCATCAACTGTTGACCTCTGAACTGAAAGGAACTATAGCTGGTGCAGCCCAGGGAGGAGCAGTGGTGGCTGGGAAATCTAACACCACCATGTTTGCATTCCTGGAGCATTTGTGTTTGTGATGCTCCACTCTGCATCGTATGTTTACAGCCCATGTTTGTGTAGTCTGAGAAAGCAGGCAGAAAGGTACTTAGCACCAGTGATGGATTCCACCTACTGTGTATGGGGGGGCAGAAATGGCAAATATAGTGTCCTTTCCATGCAGCATTTAGCCTTCTTTACTTTAACCTAATGATGGTAGACTAAAATAGCTTTAATCCAAGTGGGTCAGGGTTTTTTCTGATTAGTTTGCAGAGAACACGGCTGCCTCGGAGTTGTCTGAAATAGAACTGATGTCTTTCACGCATGCCAAGCAGCACTGACAATAACAATGATTTTAATAGCACTAGTCATAATAAAGTGCTCAGCAGTTAAAACACACAATCCTTTTTTCATTCTTTGGCTTCTTAGAAAAAATCAGTATCATTTACAGTTTGAGTCTCACTGTGATTTGTCCATTAGAAGAAACAGTTCCTGGTTCCTGCTTGTTTATGAGAACTCGTTGTTTTTTAACAGTAAACAGTATAAGGAGAAATGGAAAAGAGAAGGCTGCTGAGGTTGTGTGTGCTGTCTTTTTTTAAAGCCATTTATAGGCAGAGATACCACTAAGACCAGAGACATCAGGCCCAGTCTCTCGTCCTGTGCTGGCCTACATATACAGTATTAGCTGGGCGTTAGCGGCCCCCAACCCACACACTTTAGTCCGTCTGGCCTGCCGGCTGGTATCTTCTGTTCTCTCTCACTACTGTCATTGCCCACCTGCTGGGCGTACGCCAACCTCCCCTCCACCTCTAGACTCCAGACATGTTGTACTCTGGGCTACAGTAATGGCTCTGCCCTCAATATGTTCACAAAAAACAAATTAGCCCAGAGAGAGAAACTAGAGCTTTTTAAAATGAGCTCCTGTTTCTCTCTCTGTTTTGGTAAACAATATAAACGATATATAATATATTCTGGACTAGAATAGCGTTAGCAGATTGGCAACAAACTGATTGTGGAACACACCTTCTTTCATATTTATATATACAGCATATTTTAGTTTTTATGGTCACAACTTAAAGAATTATTTTTGCTAATTTTATAAGCTAATTGAGAAGCATTCCATAAAATCTTGAACAAATGCAAACTAGATAACACTGAATTCATGTACTATTTCTAGAAATGAATTATTATCAAGACTGAAAATAACAGCCCAGCCATCCAGCAAGATTTTAGCTGGAAGTGATCAGTTCACTATTTTTAAGCACCATACTCAGTGGATGCTGGTGTGTAGATGTGCAGTGGCACCTACAGTGAAATAGTGTGAGAAATGCCAGGTTGTTGGAAAACAAGCTGTGTTCACCTTCTTCTCTCACCCCATCTCCTGTCTCTTATCTGCTATATTCAGTGCACCTATTCGTGCTGCCACCAGTGCTTTTCATGCTCATTATTTTGCCTCTGCTGGAGCCCACTGGACGGCTCTCACTGTGGGCATACACAGTTTATCCACACCTCCTGCTGCAACACAGTTGTTCTGTGAAATGCTTACAATGCCTTTGAACCTTGTGGATTCAGTCAGGCTTAAGGTTGTGCTTATTACAACTGAACTTTCAAATGAGCCACCATGTCATTGTGTTCATTCCAGTCATTTCTGGTGCATTTGTATGGAGCTCGAACAGGGACAAAGAAAAGTAAAACTGAAAAAGAAAACGCTGGCATTGAAACATTTGAAGGGCTCACTCTGTCTCCATACATTTAGAGCTTTTTGGAGCTTTGAGCTGTTTAAAGTAGCACTAAAACAAGATCATTACATTCTACTAGCTTTGTTTAAATGTGTTTTATTTGTTTGAGGACTGCTCACCTCAAAAATTCAACTTTTTTTCTTTTTTTAAACTGCCTTGTATGCCATGCCAGCAGTGTGGCTCTGTGGGGACAGTGTTGATGGGTTGGTTGTTTGGTTCAGACAGAAATATCAACAACTATTGTGCCGAGAAATTCTCTGCAGACATTTGTGGCTCCCACTGTGTTTGGTTATCCCCTGACTTTCATCCAGCTGCGTACAAGTGGTTGAGTTTCTGTTTTTAAGTTCTTTTTCAGGGCATTTTAGTCTTTATTGGATTAAGTTGGTTGTGGAGAAGTGGATAGGAAACAAGGGAGACTTCTGTGACAGATGTCAGTGGTCGGGGTGTGCTGCCTGGGGTACGTGGTGTGTTGTGCCATAACGATCTCACTACGGGGCGCCCCAAGTGGTTTATTTTCTGATAAGTTTGTTTCTAATTAATTATTTGATGTTATAAAAATGGGTGTGCTTTGGATAATGAGTCAGCTTTAACTGGCATCCTGATAACCTTGGCTTCACTTCTGGTCACTGCTGCACAGAATCTGGGTGCAAAATGTGTCCCAAAAGGAACATGAATGGATTTTGGCTTCATTTGTGCATAGAAGTGGTGACGTATCATCCGCCTTTATGGTCAGAAACGTTAATCCACACATTCAAGGAATTATCTTGTCAAGTAGTTTTAAGACATGTTAGTCGGCTGAAGCCTTGTTATAACAGTGCCATAGATTTAAACTCTGTTACAGAATTGATTTGAATACTTCTTTAGGCCTATAAAGGGTGTTGTATGCTTTTGATGTTGTACTGTATTTAACACCCTTCATGACGAGTGTGTACTACTTTCTCACAGCTGTATGTCTTTGGTCCTGGAGGACACTAGCAGGTACGTCAGTCTCTCTCTGCTGACGAGAAGATTCTCCATTTGGCTGTTAGGCACCGGGACATCTGGTTTCAGCACCCGCCAGCAGTGTGTATAATTGAGCCCCACTTCCCTGACAGTGGCTGACATGTGCCAAGCACTGCTGGGCTCAGTGCCCTGGGCCAGACTAATCCCTGGCAGTGTGGTCGCACCGCTAATAGGCTGGGGGACAAATCTGTGTATTTGACACTGGGTTCACACCCACCTGGGTTATTATTTGCTTAAATGCACTACTGAATTTTGCCTTGGCTTTTCCCCAGGGCTTCATAAATAAACATGTAAGAATAATGAACATCATGACTTTTGATTCCCCTGGAATTATTGTGGGCTTTTGACATATGGGTGAAACTTACTTACAGTCAGCATACGGTGTGGTTTACATTCACAATAAAGATGTGATTTAATCTAAATGACTAATACATTCAGCTAACTGAGTTGGCAGTTTAATCACTGTGTGAGAGTGAATGATAAAAACTTTACCTGAGCATCTTCTGTTCTGTGCATTTGATAACTAAGCTCCATGACGTTTAGGCTCAGTGGAGATGTAGGTTTAATTCTACATCAAACTGACCATCTGTTTAAAATGCCTTCTGTATGTGTGACTACCACCAGCAGACTAATGCAGTGAATACAGGAAGGACAGACAATATTATTATCCTTCCTCCTTTCATACTGGCCAGACTTTGTACAATACAGAACTACAGCCCCATAGAGTCTTTTTCAAATTTCAGCCTCATCCCGCTGATATTCCCTCGGGGGAAATAAGGATTAGCTCGGCCTTTCAAACAGGAATTCCTCAGTCAGTTCCCATGAATGTGCCCCCCTTCCCAAACCAAATCAGCTCTGTTTTGCCCATTCCTCTGCTCCGCCCTCAGTTAGGTCGGTTGTGAGCCGTAGTAAGAGGATGCAGTGGGTTGTCGAGCACCACTCTGACTCATGCTGCCAAAACGCTCAGAGGAAGTAACACTTGGATTGCTACTACTGGCAGCTCTGCTTATAATAAATGTGTAGTGAAGAAAATGAGTAGACTTCTTCTTTAGTCTAGATTATCTATACAGTGGATGACTAAGAGTATGAGAGGAGAGTTTTGCAGTCTGTCCCACAGTGTTCTCTTCTAGGGTAACGTTCCTATTGTAAATGGCCCAATGTTCACTTGCATGACACGACAATCAGTGCATTAAAATCACACGGCCATGATAATTATGTGCTCAGTGCCTTCGTGCATCACTCAGGTAATCATTACTGCTCTTGTGTCTGATTTTGTTAGGTCGTCCATTCATAGCTGCTGCTCTGTTCATGTTTATGTTGATTTGCTTATGGGGTTTTCACTGTAAGCCATTACATAACTCTTTTATCTAGGACAATAACCTGAGGTCTGTTTCTGTCTCATTTTCCCCTTTTTGATACTGGTTCTGGAAGAATGGGCGGGAAGTGTGCATGTGTGATCCCTTTAGAAGTGAAGATATCCTAACTCACACATTCCCTCCCTTTTTTTTTTTGATAAACAAAATTTCCTCCTCCACATTTTCCCACTAGTATTTCCTCCCTGCACCCCGTGCTTCTGATGTCTCATATCTTCATGGCTGCCTGACTTGTATGATAAGATCCAGAAAGCCCGCTATAAGAAATAAGCAGCTTAGGTTTAGGACTGGAAGAGTTGTGCGTCCCTGTGTGTCTGTGCTCCGTCAGGCTCATTGTTCTGCAGGCTGTGGATCCCTCCAAGATACTTGCTTAATGAGATGGCTCTGACTGTGTAATTGCAGGCTGCTCTGAGAGCTATTATGGGAGATGTATTTTGGAAAGGGGGGGGCAAAACAGCCATTACTGCAACAAAACTGAGCCACGTTTGAAGCAAAGTCACACAGTTGCATTGAAGCTGAGGGGGCTGAGCTTCCTGCCTCCACATCTTCTACACACTTATTATATCATGGATCAAATCATATTGTGTCTGTGAGTGTGTTTAACTGCTGGAGCTGGTGCTTTTCTTCTTCATGGGAGAAGTCTCTCCCAAGGCTTCATTCATAGAAGTAATTTGCTTGGATCAGAAATACAGTAGTAATATATATGAAGATATCAACTGTCAGATCAGTAGCTTGCATTGGTTTTTAATCTGTTCTCTATAAAGTTTAAAAAGATTTCTCATTCTCTTTTCTCTAAATTCCCTTTTTCATTTATGATTGGTTCCTTGTGAAACCCAAATGTTATGCTCACATTCTGTCTGTATGGCAAATGACTGTGGGCTCAGATATTTGCTTTGCACATGACTTATTTAGGATGTGTTGAGGTCTTTCAGAGAGCCTCATATTCCAGTGCTGGCACTGTATCTCACCAGACATCCTTCAGCTTCTTAAACAACTCCCTCCATCCCTCTCTGCTGCCCCGTCTGTCGCCCTCTTCTTTCCTTCTCACCACAGCGCTCTTTGCAAATTAAAAGAAACAACCCGATCTGAGCTGGCAGCTGAGTTCAGCTCAAGTGAACGAGTGTGTTAGGATAATGCTGACCTACACTTAATGCCTTCGGTGGTTTTTGGCTTCATCCCATCTTTGTTAGTTGTTTACTATACTGTAAAACGGTGTCTGTTCTATAGGATTTGCCCTGCAGTAATCAGGCTTGGGTTGCACAGCTACTGTAAACTAAAGATAATTAGCTCGTCTCAGCTGCTGCTCAGTGTTGATAGTATTTCTTTTCCTTCCGGGTTTTCTGGTTTGATGCTGCTGCTGCTGGCCCTGTGCTGCTGCTTCTTCATTTCTGTTGTTGCACATGTTTGTCAAGAGAGAGAATGCATGTGTGTAATCCCCGCACATGTGTGTATGTGGGGCTGGGCTTGTGTGGTGCGAGATGCTGTTAAGAGATTTGTTTGGTGTGTGTGTGCTGTTTTGCGGAAGCCTAATAACAATTCTTTCTACTTTTAACAGTATTTGGAGAGGCCCCAATGTGAACTGTGTGGACAGCACTGGATACACCCCTCTCCACCATGCTGCCCTTAATGGACACAGGTAGTGATCGGTGATAAATAACTTTGGGAATTGGGAGAAATGCCTGTGCTATAGCCTGTTTCTCTGTTTATGCTCTACATTAAACGAGTCCTACTTGTACAGACAGTTGTCCCGCTGGGAAGATAAAGCTATTGATTGGCTGTTTTCTAAGGCCTTCAGTAGTTAATGGTCTGGTTTGTACTCGTGGTGTATTCTGACCTACCCTGAATCATCTGCAGCCAGGTGGTGGAGGCGCTGCTACGAAACGAGGCCTTAACCAACATTGCTGACAACAAAGGCTGCTACCCTCTCCATCTGGCTGCCTGGAAGGGAGATGAACATATCGTCAGACTGCTCATTCACCAAGGACCTTCACATCCCAGACTCAACGAGCAGGTCAGACACTGCATTTTCTATTCTTCTGTGTGTGTTGTGGTTTTCTGGGCTCACTCTTACAGTTCCAGTTTTGGTTTTTCTCACACAGTTACCATACTGATAATAGCATGAGGTAGGAGATGACACTAAACACTCAACAGAATTGCTGATCTCTAGTAGCTCCACACTTCTAATATCAACTATAGGAAGGTGATCGGTTTTATTTTTGGTAATGAAGCCAGTTTTAGCAACAGAATACACCTGCACATACTGTATCTTCATGTCAAGTCCTAGTTTGGCATGGCATGATCTGTATTTGAATGAGATAAATGCCTAAAGAATGTGACGTTAACCTCAGTGCATCATGACCTTTACTGTGCTTTGACGCCATGCTAGTGCGAGAAGTGCCTGTTTTATCCTAACCATTTTAACAGTTTTAACTCATATGTTTGCTTACTGCCCAGACTGGCATCATCTCTGGCCTGTCCTGCTCAGGATGAGGAGAAATGACCCGTTATGAGAATCACAAATCAGAACTATTAATTTGTATCTAACAACAAGCCGTGTTTAGTTGTAACTAAGCCGTCAACTGGACACACAAACAGGTCTCATTCTGTGTTATTTCTCCCTGCCTGTTCATGACATCTGATTGTTCATTAACTCAGCTCTACTTTTTTTCTATTTTTTATTCAGTTTGAGTCGTTTGTGAACATCATTCATTTGTTCATTGCTTGTCTGAACCAAAGCCATCGGCCTACTGTATCTTCTCTTCCTCCCTCCCAGAGCTCAGTAGACCATAAAGAGTTCAAACGCTGTGGGCCCTTTGACCCCTATATTAATGCCAAGGTGTGTACACAGCGCTGCTGAAACATCATTTCCTTTTGAAGTGCTTCTTTGCTTTACTGCTTTGTTGGCTTGCTATACTTGGGCTTGTGTTGTTGCTGCTGCAGAGATATGGCGAGTTTGCTTTGAATTTTCAATCTTTGCTTATGATTTCTATCATTTAAATCTTGTGTTTAACATAAATAGCATTACAACATGCCACTGTTACACTACAACTACACTGTTACACATTACAGTACTCTTGTACCAGACTTCTGAGCAGATGAAAATGCCCTAAAAAAGTAAATGCCTGTCCCCCGTGGGTTGCAGTATGTGATTTGTCAGTCTCTCTGTGTTAGTTTTTTTTCTTATGAGAATGCAGAATTGATTTAAAAACTGGTGTGATATGAAACCTGGGGCAGTGCAGTTGTTGGCATCATGCAGCCAGCTGTAAGAGAAAATTCTCACCAGCACATTATCAGTTAAAGCAACAACAATCAGTACATATTAAAAAATCAACAATGGAAACTTGAAAGATGGACTAACTTGCAGGAAGTCTTCTATCAAACCTTCCACCAACAAACTCAGGCACTGGTGAAACAATAAAATATGTATAAATGTCTAAACTCATTCAGCTACTGGAGAAAACAGTAAAACCCACTGGGAACAGGAACAGACCAGGAAGATGAACCCAGCTTTTACTCTTTATCTCTCATTTATGTGACTTTTCTGGAATACTTGCAGTCCATCCGACTTCTTTATGTTTCACTTTGAGCACCACCCTCATCTGCCCGGGGAAGCCTCACTCAAGGCCCGTCTACAGGAGGAGGAGCTGCAGTTGACAGTGTCACCCTCACAGTTAGACCAGTGAGCAGTGAGAACACATCGGCTGCTCCATGATTACATTTTCTGGAAATCCTGACCGGCCTGTAGATGAAGCTGGACGCTACTTTTGAACATTGTCACATTTCCCCCGGACTAATCTTCTTAGTGTTTTGATGGGAAATCTGGCTTTATTTAATGCTGCTATACCTACAGTATATTAGATGTGAATTTTTCTGCAGTGTTTCTGTGTATCTGAGCCTTTTTATCTGTTCAGTCTTGAATCTCATATAGTTGAGATTGTAAATGTCTTGTTGTAAATGCACTCGGGACAGTTTGGGGACCATTAGCCTGAATAACTGATGCTGTGTTATGAATAAATCAAAAAATGTGGAAGCTCTAGCCCTGGTTGTGGTCATGGTTGATGGCCTCATGTGACTGAGTGGCCAGGAGGAGGGGAGGTTTTCAGTGTAGCAGCCCTGTTACATCAGCATCAGACACATTTTCATGCCATAGTTGTCCGAGTGAGTGTGTAAATAGGTTTATTTGCCCTCATCCTCCCTCTTCTCCCACCTCCCAGTTTGTCCTTGTGAGTTCTTGAAGGGATTTGTTGGGTTTTTCTAAATAGTAGTAGTAGCGGTGGTTAAGTCTAGACCTTACTATATAAAGTGTCCTCAGATGATGTCTGTTGTGATTTAGTGCTATACAAACAGAATAGAATTTAATTGAATGTGGCTGAGGAGAGGAAGAGGTGGGGCGTTGTCATAGTAACAGTGTGATGGCGTATTGGTCGTACGTGGTGGTGAGTTCAGAGTGAGCTAGCCAGACATGAAAGGGGTTGTGGGGAGGGGGCTCAAAGAAGCCAACCACAGTAATGTTTATTCATTAAACATCGGTGCCATCGCCCACTGATGGCGTCCTTGTTGGGCCGGCCACTTTGATGATGGGTTTGGGGCTGCAAGGAATGAATATGTTGGTTATAGATAAGTCTGGCAGTTATCCCCAGCTTGACTGGTTGTTCCAAAAAGGTAAACTCAGTCGATTGTCCTTCTTAATAGCTGGAACCAGAGAAAGTGTTACCTTTTTGATTGAAAAACTACCCAAAACATGAATCAATCATCCAGATCAACTAAGTGATCAATTGTTTGCCATTTCCCAAGAAAAACCTCCAATTATGTGGTTCCAGTTTTAATGTGAGGACTTTTCTCACATTGAATATCCCTTTTGATTTCTGTTGCTGATAGGATGAAAAAAAGGGCCTTTAAAATATCAGCTTAGACAATAAGACATGTGGGGGAACATTTTTCACTATTTTCTAACGTTTAAATCAAATGATTATTCCAAAGGCGATGAATAAATTCAATGAAAATAAAATATGCTGAGATGAGTTCCTGGGGCTCAGGCTCAGATGTTCAGGCACTCTGCCATGAACTCAGACCCATCATGTACTGCACATTACCCCGGGCAACCTCAAGCACAATAAAACTGATGCTCGAGAATATCTGAACAAAAGACATTTAATAAAAACGGAGGCAAAATATCTTACCATGGTCTGATATAAGCTTATACTGAGTCTTCCTGTCAGGGTTGGTGTGCATAGGGAAATGTTTCTCATGGCAGACACCACACCCACAATGTTCCATCTAATTAATCATTAAACCTGTTCTTGCTTATATCTTGATTGACACATACCTTTATATTTATATTTCTTAGGACTTGGTCACCTCATTATCATGTGGAGCAGAGTTTCTTCTCCTCAGGGCAAAATGTTCATAGTCTGCCAGCATGTTAATTTATCCCCTCCGTCTTCCACTGAAGTGTCCAGCATTTCTTTCAGCCACCACCTCCCCCGCCCCCACCCCCCCGACATATTGTCAAGGGGACATATTGTTATTTAACAGAAGGAACAGGGTTTCTCCATTGTCATACATTCACATTTCGGGTGTGCCTTCTCTGTCAGCTGGAGCCAGCTGTTACTGGAGGAGGAGAGATTCACAGCGGAAAATGTATCTGCTGCAAGATCTTAAAGGCTTTTAAATTATGTATTTGTGTTTGAAAGGTGTGTCCCATTTAATCAAGTGGAATAAAAATGAGCTAACTAATCTTTCCTGTAAAAAGGGAGGGAGAAGGCCACAGTATGGAGAATTACAGCCAGTGGCTGGGAGCCATTTAGACATTCATCTCATTACAGGACTGCAAGGCCTGTTTACTCTGGAATGCACAACAGTGTCCAAATCAAAATCCATTATTAGAGTCAGCACTTATGTTACGGTTTCTGTGCTTTTAATGGAAAGAGCACAGGCAGTTCAGATCGAGCATTCACAAAGAAGCACTAGACCGTTATTTTAATTATTTTTTGCCTATAAAATATCCGTTAAAAAATCCTCAACACAGTTTCTCAGACAACAAGGTGACATCCTTCAGACTGGTGATCCTAAACCCAAAAGTATTCAGGTGGTGATTTTTACTTGATAAATGACTTAAAGTAATAAATTCTTGTCAGAGTTTTTGTTGGTTAATTTTCTGTCAACCCACTAATCAATAATCGACTATGTTTAGCACTAGAAAATACAGAAAGATACAAAACATTGGTAACATCTTGATTTGATTTGATTTGATTTGATTTATTCTTTTAAAGCATGTAAAGACAGCTGATATGACAACACACATAATTTTACACATATCCAACAAATGCTAATCCAATATCAATGTGCTTATACCTAGTACATGCTTGAATGGAGTAGGAAGAAGTCAGACTTATCCAGTCCTACCCCATGACATCATCTTACATCATTGGTTTGCAAGCAGTATCTCTACATAATATAATATACAGTAATATACTAAAGAATTATTACATAGTGTTAACATTCATACACCACACCCACAATGTTCCATCTAATTAATCATTAAGCCTGTTCTTGCATATATCTTGATTGACACATACCTTTATATTTATGTTTAAACTCGTCAATTCTATCACTATTTTTTATGTCCACACTTAAATTATTCCATAGTTTTACCCCACTTATGGAAATACAAAATCTTACTGATCATTTGTGCATTTGTCGGCATCTGTAACTCATTCTGTGGGCATCCATATGGTGAGGCTTACACAGATGAATGATAATATGGTAAAACAAAATTATATCATCAATATTTTCATGCAAGTTCTTGACAATAAATAGATTATAAACAATAAACAGACACTTAAAATGTCTGTAGCTCTGCTTTATATTTATTACAGTTGATACAGTGCTTATAAATGCTAAATAGGGGCATTGACATCATGAAATTTTAGTCAAGCCAACCTTTGTTGATCACTCACAAAGAGAAAATGGTGAGGAAATCCTCTTTTGTGTGTGTGTGTGAGATCCATGAATTGTATGAACGCACAGAAACTATAGTGGGATTTCAGATTGTGACAGTGGACGGGGGCGTGCAGCGAACATCTGGCACACTAGCTGCAGCAGCGGCTCAGCCCACTCCTCCTCCACCACCCGCTACTACTACTACTACTACTACTACCAGGGGCCAGGGTGACGTAACCACTGCCTCGCTTCACTGCCAGCCAGCACATCACATGATAGAGGCTGCTAGTCAAACCGTGTCCCCACACCCTCAGAATCTTCTGCAGTGTGAAAACACAATATCCAGATCTTAAAAAAACTTAGAAAAATGAACTGGACTATATTTTTTAGGTCGAAGATGTTTCACCTCTCATTCAAGAGGCTTCAGCAGTTCTCTACCAGTTCTAAAAAACCTAGTCCAGTTGATTTTTCTAAGTTCTTTAAGTTTACTATGACCTGGATGACTGACAATCTCCAGATGTTCTTGGTCAGGCCAGGGTTTATCAGTAACACCAGACCTCAGTGCAGATCTTAATCACTTCTTGTTTGACATGCACTCAGGTCTAAATCAGGATCAGGTTCTGTGTTGTCTGCAGCCCCACACTAAAGACAGGATTTTCATAAACACATGTCTGTCCAAGACGTTGTGGCTGTGCCATATTAAGTCTAATCTCCTTCCCAGTGAGGCCGCTAGTCATTGGTGTCATTTTGCGTAACAGCCAGAGCTCTGTCTTGTTAGCACTTGATTGTTTGTCTGCTCATGTCGTTTGGTGGAGATAGAGCTGATCCCTAGATACTGTTTTCACACTGGAACTCACTGAGTCCTTACGTAGCACAGTAAGTCTGTAGCAGTGGAAATCAAAATTTAGTTTAAGTGTTTTGAAATAGCTTTGCTGCTGGACCATGTGCTAAATAGAGTTTCAAAATACAGGTTATACTTTTATACTTTGCTTTACACCGTGATTTTAATCTTTTTAATGGCTTTAATGACTGAATGTTTTTTGTCTTGTAGTATGGCAGGTGAGTATCAAACAATATGACTCATGTACCTGGAGATTGATTTTTAAGAATGTTTCAAGTGCAACATGCTAAATTTACTCCCTGGGTCTTAGTGCTGACAGGAATAGTGGCTCTCAGTGTGCAAAACCTGTCATATATGCAGATAATTATAAGTTTGTGTGTACTTAACAAACTTATGTAGCAACACCTAGTATTTCAAAATATCACATTTTTAACTACAGTTGCACTGAATATTGAAATAAGAGATAAAGAGTAAAGGTTGGGTCCATAATCTGGTCTGTCTTCAGTGCGATAGACTTTTATACCCAGTAGGTGAGTAGATTATGTAATGAGCCTCTATTTAAAAAATATAATCAAAACCCAAGTGAGTGAGGTGATTAGCATCAGTGTCTGTCCATTACTTATCACTTGTTGCACTCCTGTGACAAAAGCATTGATGTTCCAGTAATACGCACGTTAAAAATGTTGAGAGTTTCCTGTTTTGGATCCTTTGTGTAAAGCTTTGTATGGCTTATTTGGATTTATACTGAGTCAACAGACCTGCATGTTTGAGGAAGTAAGCATGCTAATGTGAAAACAGACAGTGAAAACTGAAGTGATTTTGGTTTACTTTTCAGAGAAAGGCTGTTTTAGTTTTTCCCCCTGCTTTAGTTCACCTAAGACATTTTTTTTCCTCAGCCAGTCTCACTGCCCCTTCTTTGAATAAGCAGGTGTCGTTTTGTTTCTCGACGCTCCACCTCCTCTCTCTCTCTCGGCTGAAGCTGTGACCTGCTTTGGCAGTATAGTACAATACTCACGTTCTTTCTCCCTGTCCCGCTCTGTCCCTCTAACAATGAAGGAGAGGCAGTAGCCTACCTGCTGGTCCCACCTGGGGCAAGGTCCTTGTGAAAGCCTCAGTGAAGAGGCGACGGACACCTGCCTAAAACTGCCCTGTTGCCCTCTTCCACCCTACATTCTGTCTTCAGTGGCACAGCTGGCGTGTTCCTCTGGGAATCGCCGAACCTGGCATCATGCATGTCCATGTGGGGGTCTCTCCTGCCAGCTGTCAGCCCTTTCTAGGTGGCTGCTTGTGTCTGGAATGGCTGACTCTCAGAGCGCGTGGTTCTATAATAGCAGGCATTTTCTGCCACACCCATCTGTACACAGTATTCGAATAAAGCCACAGAACTGTAGGGTTATTCAGGCTTTATTTGTTTGCAGTTCTGTCACACCTGGAGACATTGAGAGCGGTGGTTAAATCTTTTCCTCTCTGCCACACTATTATTTTCTACTCTTGGCAGGAGTTTAAATGTTTTATGTTTTTGTCTGTAGTGCTGCTCCCACATTTCTCGACACAACAGAGCAGGACTGGCTTAATTTCGACTATCCATGTTGTCATTGTGTGATGGTAGTTTGACCTGGTCCTGAGAATACTCCCATGGCGTCCTGTCAGTTCCGCTCCTGGATTGCAGGGTTTGCCCCCTGCAGGCTGTTCATGGTAGGAGTCACCAACAGTCTGGCTCCAGACTTTATTAGGCATTGATCTGTGAGTCATTAGATCCAATAAGTAGCACTTACTGGGTTTACTTTGTAATTACTACATTAAATTGTTAGATCTGCCTGTATATTAGCATGTTTTCCTGCAGTTATGATTTTTTTTATTCTTTCAAACATGTAACGACAGTCAATATGTCAACACACATAATTTCACACATATCCACAAATGCATTATCAATTAGCTTATACCTAGTACATGCTTGAACGGAGTAGGAAGAAGTCAGACTTATCTAGTCTTACCCCATAACATCATCTTACCATCATTGGTTTGCAAGCAGTATCTCTACATAGATAATTCACTTCTACACCACGCTAGTGATATACTAAAAAATATTACAGATTGTTAACATTCTTACATAATGACATACTTTGATAATCATCTTCTACACCAAACAAGTAGAGATATTACACAGTGTTAATTTATTGTCACGGGGACATTAACATAATTGTTTTGCTTTCTGTTACTGGCATGTGGCCCTTCGCTCTCTGTCACAGTGCAGGCTGATGTGCACCTCAGTCAGATAACTGTCAGATTCTTTGTTTCAATCTGTGGAAATGTCAAACTCTTCTTACACATGAGATCTCACATCATCCTAGCTATTGGTGTGCTCCTGAGGGAGCAATAGAGAGAGAGTTGTGAGAGGCCATCTTGACAGGACAGTATTAATGGGCCATGACTTTTTGTAACTATACTACACCATTGCCATTCTGACCTCTTGTTCAAATGACTCATGTCTCTGCTAATTCCCCACCTGCCTGGACACCTCTGTCCCTCTACTTGCTCCCTGCAGCCCTGGCACCGCCATCCTCAACACCTGTCTGCATTAGTCCATGCATGTTTGCCAGTTCTCCACCCCAGCCCCCTTTCCCAGGCTTCACCATGGATGATGCTTTACGTTATCTATGAATGTGTTAATGTGGCAGGCTCTATGCTCTGACTCCCAGTGACTCACTGGGTCACCTGTTATTACTTCTTTACAGACATGATTCAACCAATGTCTTTTGTTCTCTTTTAATAGATCTACATTGTTTCCTGTATCTATGGAGCCATTTTCCAATGCTGCTTCTCACCTGTGTATCTGCCCCCAATAGAACAATGATAATGAGACGCCGCTGCACTGTGCTGCCCAGTACGGCCACTCCCAGGTGGTGCAGCTGCTGCTGGAGGAGCTGACGGACCCCACCATGAGGAACAACAAGTTTGAGACCCCACTGGACCTGGCGGCGCTTTACGGCCGCCTGGAGGTAGTCAAACTGCTGCTCAGTGCCCACCCCAACTTGCTGAGTTGTAACACCAAGAAGCACACGCCGCTGCACCTGGCCTCTCGGAACGGACACCTGTCTGTGGTGGAGGTGCTACTGGATGCTGGCATGGACATCAACTATGAGGTGTGCTTTACAATATACACTGTACAGTTTACAGTATATAGGCAGTATGTGTGTGAAACTAATAGCTTCTGTTTTCATGTGTTTCCTACTGTACTGTCATGGCCCAAATCATGTTGGCTAATGTAATCTGTTCTTGCAGCACTTCCTCTTGCTACTTCCTACTAAAGCTATGAGATTAAGTGTAAAAATCTTAAGCTCTCAGTTTACAAAGAAACTGCTGTGGTATCAAAGCAGGGGAAGCCATGCTCCCCCTGGTGGGCCCTGTGACTCTAGTTTTGTACCAAACTGTGTCATCCATCTGTCTGGAAAGACTTTTTCCTTTACTCCATCCTCCCTTCTTCAGAATTAAGGATTTGAAGTCTGTCCTTTGGGACTTCACAGGTTTCAGTTAGCATGTCACTGTGAGCCAGAAAATGATCTGCTTTGATTCCTCAGCCACACAGTTGTCGTTAGAGAAGTGGACTGATGAACACGTGGGTGACGGAACAGACAGCTGGCAATAGGAGAAGAAATAAAACTGGAGCTTTAATTTTCATAATAATCATATTTGTGGGTGTTTGTTGTCCCTTGGTCTCAACTGTTTATGTGCTTCTGGGTCTTTATGCTTCTGTTTTCAGACAGAGAAAGGCAGCGCTCTCCATGAAGCAGCCTTGTTTGGGAAGAGAAACGTGGTACAGAAACTTCTCAGTGCAGGTCAGACCTCAGTGCCAAGAAGCAACATTTGAATCACTATCTGCTCTTAACACAGCTTCAGTGAGATGCATTTGCAAAAGTGCACACATTACACTTAGCTGTTGTATGTACTGACTGTTCCTGTTGTCATTCATCAGGTGTCGATGTAAACATCGTCGACCAGAAGGGCCTGACAGCGCTGGACACTGTCAAGGACATGCCCTCCCAGAAGAGCAGAGAGATAGCTGCTCTCATTTTAGGTACAGACAGGGAGCTGTAGTAGGAAGTATCCTTGGGATTTCACATTGACCAGCTGTGATACAATCTCCTGATTGTATGTTGCAGGTCACATGAGTGGAAAACATGACATTGCCCTTCCCCCTCCACCAATCCCTCCACCTCAGGAGAGTCCCAGCCCACGGAAAAAGGGTAGGATTAAGTTGGGTGTCTGTACTATAGTAGCGGCAGTTCAGTCAGCAGGTTAGACAAGCAACACTGAGCAGTTCAATGCAGAATATTTTTTCCAGTCTTGTTAGTCTGTGCATCTGCGTTTTGACCTGTATTATAGGTGATCTGGAGAAGGTGAGTGAGTTGATCTCAGGGCTGGCCCCACGGCCTGAGGAGGAGAGTCCATATGAGGCTCTGTATGAGGCTACCTCTTGCCACTCTCTGGACAGCCTGACCAGTGGCAAGTCATCGGACAGAGACTCTGGACGGCCGGATAGCGAAGCTGGCAAGGTCAGCAGCAGTTGAACTGAAACCCACACTCAAGCTCAAACATACACACTCGGTGAGATTTGTTACAGGGTTTTATAGGCGATGAAACACAGATGTCCCACTAGAGGGTGATAGTGGTCTTCTCTATACATGACTGTGCCGCAGTAACCCTCCAGCTTCAAACTTCATGCGATACAGAGGGGGTTTGTAATGGAAAAAATGAGCAATAACAATATATTTATTTCATCTTATATTCCTTATCATTTACAGAAAGATCGCCTGTTCCACTTATCACATCCTGGTGCTGGTCATGAAGAACATGTGAGGTCAGAGGTGAGGAGCTAAGATTGTAAAGCCAGGTGAAATTTTTACCATCTAACACCACAGATTCTCACATGCACTGTTTTAAGGCCTTCATGGAAGGTCGCGGGGACAGCCTCTAAAATTCAGAGGTTGGACATGGTTTGTTAGCACAGTGACACAGAGGCTGTTGGGAAATAAAGCCAGTGTTTTGCATAAAAAGATGAAAAGTAAAGTGGAAGAGGACTGAAGACACAATCAGAGGACCTGTCTGATTTAAAATGTCACTGACGCTAAAGTAACATTAGGGCGGTTAAGTCATACATTTTTCAGGTTTTCCTCATTGAAGGAGACACTTGGATCACAGAATGTAACATTCCAAATCATCCGTGCATTTCATTTCCTTGTTCACCTTCGAACCTTAACTCTCTTCTTGCTTCTGTACCTTTTTTTTCTGCAGGCTCTATATACTAATAGCAGTATTGATGAGAAAGGCAGGCTGGTGGAGGAGGAGGAGGAGGAGAAGGAGGAGGAGGAGGATCACACTTATGAGTTGTTGGTGACTGCACAAACCAAAGTCCCACCACCCAGCAAGGAGGCCCACTCCCATAAAGGTAATAGAATAATCCGGTGTGAGATAATTGTAATTGGTAGGGATGTAATGATATTTGTAATTTCTCAATATCACAAAATGTTTCAATAATGTCATGGGAATTTTATATACATTATACAAAAACAAATGATCAAAAAAAAGCTGATTTATTATTTAGTAAAGGACATTTTTCTTTATTTCCCCCCATTTTTTAAATATTGTGAAAAGCCTTGTATCACAGACTTTATTGTGGCGATATCGTATCGTTACATCCCTAGTAATTAGGTGAAAATGTGTATTTTTCCTGTTGCATTATGTTTTTTTGATTTTAAGAGATGTTTCTGGATGAACTTCATACTTTGCTGCTTTGTGTAGAAGTGACTTCCCTTTCCTGGCTGGGCCTTGGATGATTTCATAATAGTGCTTAAAGCTACAGATCAGTGAGAGAGGCCACACGGTGTACATGATTAGGCTTCCTTAGTTGTTTCTGGTGATTGGCACTGCATGTAATTGTATTAAATGGGATTGAATTAAGGGGTCGTTTTGATCCCTAGCTGTCGATGATGTTTTAAAACCACTCCCTCAGGCCTTCCAGCTCAGTCAGCTTCACTAGCACCATGAGAGAACACCGCTGAGTTTTATCGCTGATGTCATCGTACAACCCTCCAGCTTCAAACTTCATGCGATACAGAGGGGGTTTGTAATGGAAAAAATGAGCAATAACAATATATTTATTTCATCTTATATTCCTTATCATTTACAGAAAGATCGCCTGTTCCACTTATCACATCCTGGTGCTGGTCATGAAGAACATGTGAGGTCAGAGGTGAGGAGCTAAGATTGTAAAGCCAGGTGAAATTTTTACCATCTAACACCACAGATTCTCACATGCACTGTTTTAAGGCCTTCATGGAAGGTCGCGGGGACAGCCTCTAAAATTCAGAGGTTGGACATGGTTTGTTAGCACAGTGACACAGAGGCTGTTGGGAAATAAAGCCAGTGTTTTGCATAAAAAGATGAAAAGTAAAGTGGAAGAGGACTGAAGACACAATCAGAGGACCTGTCTGATTTAAAATGTCACTGACGCTAAAGTAACATTAGGGCGGTTAAGTCATACATTTTTCAGGTTTTCCTCATTGAAGGAGACACTTGGATCACAGAATGTAACATTCCAAATCATCCGTGCATTTCATTTCCTTGTTCACCTTCGAACCTTAACTCTCTTCTTGCTTCTGTACCTTTTTTTTCTGCAGGCTCTATATACTAATAGCAGTATTGATGAGAAAGGCAGGCTGGTGGAGGAGGAGGAGGAGGAGAAGGAGGAGGAGGAGGATCACACTTATGAGTTGTTGGTGACTGCACAAACCAAAGTCCCACCACCCAGCAAGGAGGCCCACTCCCATAAAGGTAATAGAATAATCCGGTGTGAGATAATTGTAATTGGTAGGGATGTAATGATATTTGTAATTTCTCAATATCACAAAATGTTTCAATAATGTCATGGGAATTTTATATACATTATACAAAAACAAATGAGCAAAAAAAAGCTGATTTATTATTTAGTAAAGGACATTTTTCTTTATTTCCCCCCATTTTTTAAATATTGTGAAAAGCCTTGTATCACAGACTTTATTGTGGCGATATCGTATCGTTACATCCCTAGTAATTAGGTGAAAATGTGTATTTTTCCTGTTGCATTATGTTTTTTTGATTTTAAGAGATGTTTCTGGATGAACTTCATACTTTGCTGCTTTGTGTAGAAGTGACTTCCCTTTCCTGGCTGGGCCTTGGATGATTTCATAATAGTGCTTAAAGCTACAGATCAGTGAGAGAGGCCACACGGTGTACATGATTAGGCTTCCTTAGTTGTTTCTGGTGATTGGCACTGCATGTAATTGTATTAAATGGGATTGAATTAAGGGGTCGTTTTGATCCCTAGCTGTCGATGATGTTTTAAAACCACTCCCTCAGGCCTTCCAGCTCAGTCAGCTTCACTAGCACCATCAGAGAACACCGCTGAGTTTAATCGCTGATGCCATCGTACACCCATGTATATGAATGATGGTGTTAGAAAAAAGAGATTCTTTAATGTTTTTCATCTTCTTCTCTTCAGCTTGACAGAAATGTTAAATGAATTTCCATTTGTTTTAAAACGGCGTCATCACGTCGGCACGCCTAGTGCAGTTTAAATGACAGGGAGATTAATTTCAAGTCTGTTATGAACTGTAGCTGCAGAACATCGTCCTGCATAATACATGATTTTATTACATACATCACTTTCACGTTCCCTTAGCAGAATGTCTCTCTTGTCTGTCAGAGCAGCAGTAGATTGTCTGTTGAGTGATTGAATTCTGAATGGACCAAGATCATCTTTCATCCGTCCTGACACTTCTGTGTTCTGTCTCCTTAGATGAGAATACCACTCCACACTCTTCCAACAGTGTCCTACCTGAGGTATCTGTGATGTTCTTATTTTCACCCTTCTCATTATTACATCTTTACCCCTGCGTCAGGCAACATGTTCAGTGCCCCAGTCTCTTTTTTAATGCCTGTCAGTTTCCAGATGTAAGTGTAAGTTGTACAAGAACTTTTCTTTAAACACCTAAGAGCAGTTTTTCATCTGAAGTTTGAATTGCATAATTGGAGCATGACTGTATGACCATAGATAATGGAAATGACTCAGTCATATGTCAGCAGAAGACAGAAGTAGTCTTAAACTGGCTCTTAAAAATGGGTGTTGTAAAACTCCCTGCTCTATTTATATCCTACTTTAATATCTTTTCATATTTGTCGTACAGTCGGGAAGCGTCTATTGGATTTGTGTGCTCCTCAGCTGCCTAATCATAATAAACGAACAGCATAGTGTCCTCTGTAATATACACTGCTCAAAAAAATAAAGGGAACACAAAGATAAGACATTCAACTATGTTGTGTTCCCTTTTTTTTTGAGCAGTATACATCTTCTGAGCTGAGTAACATCCTGTGTGAGATATGCAAACCCGCCACCGTCACTGTAATGCAGAAGCATCTTCATTTCATGTTAGGCTCGCTGGATAATCAGCTGGGATATTAATTGACTGACTGGGTCAAGCTTTAGCAGCTATTAATATGACTGCCTGCCAGCACAGGAAATGTTTGATTGTCAGACTCTTTTCTCTTCTTCTCTGTCCTACTTTAGTGTAAACCTACTGCTCCGAATGACCTCAGAGCCCCAGGCAAGGCGAAAGACACTCTGCATCCTCCTGGACGGGTGGGCACACAGGCACCCCGAGGTGAGTTTGACCACAGTGCTCAGATTTTAGTAACCTAATAAGGAACAACTGCTGCTGCTGGCAATGCAGTGGGGGCAAGAAACACACCAGACCTGAAAAGCACAGAACAAGCATGTCAATGAAATGGGAGAAATGCATTTGAGTTCGCCGGCTGAGATGGGCTGGCTTGGATTAACGCTGCGAAGGAATGTGCCTGATTGGCATTCTCAACCGGCAGAGCAGATTTGGCTAGTCGGGAGCAGGCTGATTGACATTGCATAGCAACTGAGCAAGACTCATTTCACTGCCAGTATGAAACAGGATTCTCGATCAGATTGTGACATTTCTATCTCATATCTGCTTAGAGCAGGATATGCTACGTCATCCAGCCACGCGCACAGTTGAGGTGAGGATTTTTGCTGATGCACATACAGATGCTTTTATTTAATAATTATTTTTGGAGCATGTTTTCAAAAGGAACTGTAGAAGGAAGCATAGTAGGGAATCTGATCTGGCAGTGCTGATTACAGCAGGAGCTGGCTGGTTTTTCTTATTTTTGAGGATCTTGTTTAATATTTTGCATTAGAAGTTATTCTATCTAATGCATTTTTCACACATGAACTCTGGACTATGTCCACAGAATCAGGCCTGGACTTTGTACAGAGTTGTTTGTTCACACATGTAGCACACAACGGGTGTGTCAGACCTGGGTAGAGCGCGCAGGAGTCGGGACATGACATGGTCACGTAGCCAGTTTGTAATTTGGTCGGAAACAACCAAGTCTCTTGCCATTCTTTAAATTTTGCCACGGCTCTTAACAACAGAAGCTCCAGAATCTCGTGTCTTCACTTAGATATTTTTGTTGGCGTCTTCACTGTAAATGGCCTTTTTCCCCCACCATTAAATTTCTTCCTGTTTTTACTCCAGTTACATGATTGAATGTCATCATCACGTCCACGTCCGCTCTGACGATAACTTGCTGTATTCTCACATGGGCTCACGCTAGTTCACTCGGACATTACACGGACTTTGTACTCTGGAGCTGGCAGAGTAAAGTCTGCTATGGTCCGGGTCAGCTGACTCGGACATTTGCATCAGAGTTCCAGTGCATGTTTGAAAGGGGCATGTAAGGAATGTTTGCACTAACTTCAGATCTAACTTAACACATCTATCAAACGTGAACTTGTTTGAACTTAATGCAACTTGGCACAAATGGAAAGTGGAGAAGGAATCCTTTTCTTCTTTGAGACATCTTGATACAACTAATGAGATTCTGCAGAAACCCTCAGATTATTAACTCCAATGAGCATAAACATGAAATTGTGGTTCAGTGTGTGACAAAAGCAACACTTGCATTTGGGGAACATGTTTTGCCAAAGGACTCAAGGAGAAATGAGCCAGTTTGACAGAGATTGTTAAAAAGTTGATGATGGTGGGAGCAGGGGAAATGTGAGACACTTCTAAAAGCATCGAAGACCCATTATTTAGGTTTTCTTTGCTTATGGTCTTTAGTTACTCTAAAGTTATATTCTCCTTTCCCTTTTTTAAAGCCACAGAAACCACAACATTGGCTACAAATAAGAACATTTCATCATTTTTCTTGTCCTTTCTCTTTTTGCACATCAGCCAGTTAAACATTTGGTTCCCTGTTTTGTGTGTTACATCAACCAGGACAGCGGGCTGAGCCTAAATGTTAAGTTCTGCATATGTGGCTGTGGTTTTCATTATGACTCAGTTGATCTGATTTTGGCATTAAAGAAGCATTAAAGTCTGTCTTTATCTTGTACTTGCTGCTTATTTAAGACATAGCCACAGTTCAGTTTGACAGTCATCCATTACTTTCTTCACATTGGATGTGAAACTTTGACAGTTTGATCTCTCTTATGCCAAAAAGCAGTAGTGGAAGTAGTACTCCGATTGTTTACTTAAGTAAAAGTGGCAATACCACAGTGTACTCATGCAGAATGGCACAGCTCCCATTAAAGTGTATCATGTTATTGGATTGTAATTATTGTTGAATTATTGTGATCATCACATTTACTTTGAACAAAACCACTCATGTAAAGTACAGGTTGCTCAAAATTGTACTTAAGTCCAGTACTTGAGTAAATGTACGTAGTTACTTTCCACCTCACTCTATGGTTCAACTAAGGCTTTGTTTCAGGAACGTACAGTTTGTATCGCTGTCATGAGCTGCAGTGCAACAGAGGAGCTGCAACAGTTGTGTGTTGAGGTGATAAAGACAGAAAGCACCTGTTTGGCAACCTCCTCCATGTTATGTGAGCAGTGAGCATAAAATTAACCCCTAATGTCCAGGAGTACTCCCTTAACCAGATGTCTGTTTGCGTTCATTTTTTTTTTTTTGTCAGTGGCTGTTAATGATAGTCTGACTCATGCATTTGGTTTCCTTCTACATAATGTTATGCGTATGTGTATGAATATGACGAGATACTGGCTCTCAGGAGAGAGACTTTTGTTCTGTATTGACCCATACTGTCAATAGAGGTATTTGTTTACTTGCTGCACTGCTGTAAATGTGCACATATTAATATGATGGCTTTTAGTTTGCGATTGATTTTCTGCACTATATGACCCATAGTTAAAATGAGTTTGAATCTTCAACACAAACAGAGCAGAGCATGAATTAACTCCAGACTCTGCTGACGGTGGAGTGACAGTCAGCACAAGTGCTGCAGTGTCTGCTGCACAAACATGACATCATTAGTGAGATATGCAGTTCACGCTGCCAAATGAAATAGACATCCCGCCTCTTTGGTGACCTCGCTGATCTGTAAGAGCCGCAGTAACACGGGATCGTGCCTTTGCGCATTTTCCACCACACTGCAGAACTACGAGCATGGGTTGTGGCGGTCTCGGCAAGAGTTAACACCATGTGAGGATGTTGGAACCACACTGATGTGCTCATAGGGCGTTCATAATGACCTGCTGCCAAGGAGAGGGTGGGTGTTTGGCTGTGGTCGTGACATGTGTGTGCAGTAAACTCACTCACCCCTTACAACACACACAAACACCCACTTAGGTTTTAGGGTTGTTCAAGTTTTTAGCAGCTTGTGAAAAAGGAGTTTTGGGTGTTGTTTGGTACGCTCCCTCACAGCTAATGGCCCCTGAAACAGTAATGAGGCAGTTTGGTGAACTCAGACTGAGTTTGCGTACCAAACTGTTCTGTGGTAGGAGTACTGTAGATTAAACACCTTGCAGCGTTCTCTCTTGATGCTTCCCCTCTTTGAAAGACAGGTAGCGCAACCTGTGGCGACACTGCCCCGGATTCGCTGTCAGCAAACACCCTGACCCTATCAGCCTGGCAGAGATGGTCCACACATACACACTCCTTCTCCATGTGTCACACGGCTAGTTATTAGGAGTCTGACTGCTGCAGGATGGGGCGATTCAAATTTCCATTCCTGAGCCATCATTAGGGTCTAGAATTAGAAGCTAGAAAACACAGGGCTGCTGGTTGCTCAGCAGACAACAGCACGCATCGCAGCAGTGCGAAGGAAGACAGCTACAGAACTGAGCACAGGCTAGAGACTTTCTAAAGCCAAAGAGTACATGACAACAGGCACTGTTAAGCGTGGCTGATTCGATTGCAGAAAAGAGGCTTAGGTGGCAGTAAATCCTCAGGGAGAGGGAGGAGGAAAACCTAATTGCTTTTAATTGCACTTGCTGTTCAGTCTCATAACGGACTTGTTTTCAGGCAGCCGGTGTGACTTTCACTCATTTTGGTGAGTTGTTTCATTGTTTATTTATTTTCTGTTGTATATTCTGGGGTGTTTGTTGTACCCTGTGTACAGTGGCTCCATGTTTGTTGTGTTTGTGTGAAAGTTTAGTCAACAAGTTGGGGGATTTCTTAGTGTTGTGTCAAAGATCTAATAGATAAAATGTGTGTGAGATGAGGCCAGTGACAAAGGTGACTAGTGTTAAAAAAAACTGGGGCAATCAGGGAGCAGCAGATAGTCATCACACTGCTGCAAGCTGAGTTTGGAATTCTGTTATTTCAACAGCCGGCATACGCCTTCTTCTCGCTCCATCTCTTCTCTCTCCCTCCTTTTCTCTGTGTCACTCTTGGAAGGAAACAATTACAGATCTGTTTCAGAGCTTGTGTGGGTGGTTTCTTATTAGCCCTGCTCTAAGAATCTGTCCCTCAGTTAGAAGTCTACTTTCCAGCCCTCACAAGCTCTTTCTGTGCTGATTTTGTTTGTTCCTTTTCTCATTCTCTAGATAACTTACAGCCCAGCAAGGATCAGGGAGCGGGTGTCCCGGAGCAGTTCACTGGCCTCCTGCACGGATCCTCTCCTGTCTTCGACTGCCGTGAGGAGCCCTTCAGGTTTCCAGGTGTTCTGCCGCCCAGCCAGAACCAGCAAGAATCAAGAAAAACGGCCAAAGTAAAAGAGGAAATAGCAGCAGCTGCACCACCAACTAGCCGTCCCAGTATGGCTGCCATCCTGACAGACTGTGATCCAAAAGCAATTTATGCAACTGTGAACAAGGAGTCCAGAGACTTAGGGGCTGGAGCTTCCATTAGGAAGCGGCCTCCTGGGGACCTGAAGCTGGGACGCAGCCTCTCCAAGTCTGATTCAGACTTGCTGGTGTCGCCTCCTAATGAGGAGGATGGAGGACTGGGAAGCCGTAGCGAGTCGGTTTCTAACTGTAGCACTAGCAAGAAAAGGCTTGAGAAATCTCCCTCTTTCACCTCAGAATGGGATGAGGTAAGTGTTCGGTATATTCACATAGATGTAAAAGTACTTTTTGGTAATGTAGTCCCTGTCTATACTGTACAAAGGAACAGTGGAGACTATAGGTCAGTGTTGACTAATGCTAAAGATTTTGAAAGGTGTATAATACATTAATACACCAGGTAGGAACCTAGCATACAAACAAATTATCCTGAGATACAGTTGCACAACGTGTGTAAAAATACGTTGAAACTGAAACTGTAAGCAGCGTTGTTTCTAAAAGATTGTCCTGAAAAGCCACAGTATTCGCAATGAAAAAACATGTCAACCAGAGCAGCAGTGTGTCTCCTCGATGTCTTTAATCATTTTTGGACAATGAGGGAACGCTATCAATCGCACAGACGAACAAGCTGATCCAGGGCTGACAAACTGACAGACATTAACCATGAGTAGAGGCAATTCACCGTTGGTTCTAGTCCCTATGTGGAGATTGCTGAAAATGTTAATATAGAAAATGAGCAGTCTTCCATCCATCCATTATCTCTACTGCTTATTCCTGAATAAGCCAATCCCAGCTGACACTGGGCGAGAGGCTGGGTACAACCTGGACAGGTCGCCACTCTATCACAGGCCTGACATGTAGACAACCAACCAACCACGCACACTCACGCTCACTCCTACGGGCAATTTAGAGAAATTGGCCATAGGAGTGAGTCAACCTAAGCTGCATGTCTTTGGACTGTGGGAGGAAGCCAGAGCACCCGGAGAGAACCCACGCAGGCTCAGGGAGAACATGCAGACTCCACACACAAAGGCCACGGGTCAGATGACCGGTCTTATCCTTTAATATTATGTGGATTGCATGCATTATGAGGCTCTGCTACAGTAATGAACTAATTAAGACGTATTTTTCCAAGCACAAACATTAACTTTTCAACAGTAGATTTAGAGCATTAATCCAAATTTTAAATGGTCTGTGCAAGGAAGTAGACCTAAAGCTCGTTTAGACCAGTAACACATTCACCCACTTGCGTACACAAAGACTCTCTCTCTCGCGCACGTACACACACACACACACACACACACACACACACACAGGTGGCTTCACTGTGGGCAGCTTGGGGTTCAGGGTCTTGCCCACTTCTTCATGTGGACTGGAGTAGACAGGGATCGAACCACCATGCAGATAGGAGACAACCCTCTCTACCTCCTGAGCCACGGCTGACACTTATACAAGTTGTATGACTATACTGTGTAGATTCCTCTTGTGTGCAGTGTTCTTCCTTTATTTATTTGTTTGTTTGTTTATTTGTGCATCACCTCACTTGTTAGATTTAAAGCGTTGCAGCCACAAGACACTTGCCTGCAACACTGACTGAATGAACATCTCAGTATTTTCTGACTGTAGTCAACAAAGAATGCTTTTGTTCTGCCAACTCAAAGCCCACCTGATGTCCTGACGGGCACGGTGTGCACGTGGAGCTTTTCTGTACATTGTTTTGAACACAACCTTCAGCAAATACAGTGACTGTGTTAAAAAAAAGTTTGCTTGTGTAAATGGTGAAAACATTTAGACTATGACAAAATGCACTTTTGCAACATCTTTCTCAATTCTGTTCAGAAAATTTCAAGTGGCTTTAAATTGATCTATTTTTATGTTCTTAGTCTTGTCTGGTGTTTGTTACTGCTGTGGTTATTTATAACTAAATATGCCCCCTCCACTGAGTGCTTTAATGGTTTGTCTGGGATGTAGATAAACAGCTGATCAGAGCGATGTGAGGAGAGATTAGTGAAGGCAAGGGGATGAGGATAAAACGACAGAGAAGCTGAGAGAGTAAGACGAGTCAGAGATTTGGAAACTGAGATTCAGAGAGAACATGCAACCTGCAGATATCGCTCTCCTCCCAAATCGGCTCCTCCGCTCACAAAGGCGTGTGACTCCGTGAGTCTCTGCGGGAACAGGCAACCTATCATACAAACATAACACACAAATATACGATGATTTCAAGGCAAACTTCCTTTTCCTGCTTACATCAGCATATTTTTTTTAACATAATGTTAGTGTTTATGAACTGTGATTAAAGTACAAATAACAGTGAATGAGCAGAGGTACAGTCATAGAAGCCTGGGCTCAGGATTAATTATATCCTCTAAGCTTCTCTCTGAAGTTTTACAATAAGCTATCCTAGTCTGCTTTACCATGTATGATGCCAGACCATCTAGATCAAATCATGGGCTCAGGCCGCTCTAACACTTTCTCCCTCCACATTGAGGAGATCGTATTACTGCCTAGTGTTCTTTTACATGATGCAATCAGAATAGCCACAGCTGGGATAATAGCGGCTTTGAGGTCGATATCCTGGCTGCTATGGACTGTGGTTTGGATGTGGGTGGAGGCCAGGCCTGAAGAAAAGTCAATGAAATACAAAATATCTCTGTAAAACTTGGAGTAGATGTTGGCCAGTACCACTGATACCAGTATTAGACTGTGTTCTAGCTTCTCAGACTCACCTTTTGATGTAACACAGTTCAGGCCGAACCAAAAAGAGAACAACTCAACCCTAATTATGATTTACTGTTGCATTGTTTGCATTGCTGTATACAGCTTATGGCCCGACACTATTATGTGATTGCTGCTTCTATTTACTCATCTCTGCTGTGGTGACTTTATGAGTTACCAGTTATATGCTGCCATAAACGGTGCCAGATGTTGTGTTGATGATTTATGCAGTTCTGTTCTCGGTGACGGTGGTAAATAGTCACACCCCCAACCCGAAGCAGGGATGCTGTAGTTGAGGTGGAGGTCTGTGAGATGCCATACATGCATCTTGCAGACTGACCTGATGTTTGTTCTAAGCTCATAGCACCTTTCTAGCTTGAAGGCAAAGCACAACACCTTGGCAGCATGACTGATTTATTCTTGTGTACAGTCACTATAACCTTGTCATTCATTTATTTATTTATTTAGAGCACCACAAGAAAGGCTTTCACCTTGATCTTCTTCAGCACACTCAGACATGAAACCATAACCTCAAGTATAGTGTCATTAAAGTCTGTAAATGAGAAAATTGGAATGTAATATTTGTAGTTAATGGCAGAAACCGACCTCCCGTACTTGTCTGTATTCAGTCAGTGGATGCCACGGTAAAGAACCTCCCTTCATTATTGAGTGGAACACAAAGTAAAACCATGTTTTGACTTGTCTGCTCACTCTGTTGACTTCTTAGGATTTCTCAAGCTTGACATTTTGTAACCATCATGGCATTTCTGTGTACTGTAGTGCTGTATTTAGACTTGCAACTAACAGTCAAGTATTATATACAGGCATTATTGATTTATTAATCTTTAACTTTGCAAAAGGATATTTAGTCTGCAAGTATCACAGATTATAGCCTGACTATTCTGGATATTTGAGGCTGATATTTGGTTTAAAGTTATAATTCTTAAGATTTTCATGAACATAAAAAAACAATCTTAAAAAAAGTCTCTTATATTTGTAAGGCAAAATGCATGCTACGTGGGACACTTCATGAAAGGGAGAGAGGGACGACACCTTGTGCGTTTGAATCTTCCCCTTTCAAACCAGTCTAATTATGCAGTTTGTTGAACACCTCAGCTCCTCAGACTTGAGGGATGTGGCCTCCGAGCGCGTGACAGGATTACGGCCATGACGTTATATGGTTATTGGAGATTTCTGCTCTTTGTTCAGCAGCTTGTAATAATCCTGAAACTCTTCTTTTGTCTTCTCCCTGCTGCTTCTGCATTGATGACCTGAGTAGAACAATCACGACAGTTGTTCTGGTTGTAAAAGAGAAGCTGGAGAGGAGGATGCAAAACAGCGGGGTATCACTGTCCTCTTACACAAGCATGCGACAGGAGAACAGGATCTATTATTGGCTTCTAACTGAAGAGGAGATCATACCAGTGAAAAGAAAATACAGTCTCAGGCAATGGCTTCATTTATGCACCAAACAAGTGAACTGCCCAGCTTTAAGTTCATCCAAATGTCTGAAGGGTGCTTTGAAATCCTCAAGTAGGCTGCTGGCAAAGAGCACCATATTTCATTCTTAATTATCCATTCATCCCACGGGAGTGCCTTTTATTTACTCCACAGCCTGACGGCCACAAAATAAAATTGTTTTGACCATATAATAACAATGCAGTTGACCTTGAAAACATATGCCTTCTCTGGTAGTCAGTGCTGTCATCACTGTACCGCAGAATCAGATGTGAACCACAGATTCTGCCTCTGATGGAAGTAATGTACAGTATGTGTAAGTTCCTAGTGACGCCTCCTGTCACTGTGCATAGACTGGATTTGTGTGTGAACTAATCTGTCAGCTCTGCCTTAAAAAGGATGCACTGAAGAATCCACCTTTTATAATTAATGAAAATCATTGCTCGGTTTAGTATTATATGACACTGTTTCCCAAATGTAGTTTGTCACTTGATAGTAGTGAGATGTTTATCAGAAGCCTTTGTAGCTTCTAGAAGCATATATTATTTTTGAAAGGCAATTCCTTTTGTCCAATTTAGGAGCCCTACTTAATGTTAATTGAACTCAGAAGCCTATTTATTCTCTCTTGAATAGTGATTCAGATGCCTGGGAGTCATGTGCCAAAAGCACAAGGCAAGAACCCTGAATCTTTCTTCTCCATTTCCTTTCAGGGGAACAAGCCTGCATTTGCTTGAAATGGAAATATTCACACTGCTGAAGTAAAGTGCATATCAAATGAGAGAGGAGTGTGGGGAATGTAGTTGGAAGTTTGATTGGACATGACCTGTAGCCTGCACTCGCTTTAATGATGTTGGAAGTGTCCATTGAAAGTTGAAGTCCCGTCTCTATTCATTCTCTCTCTGCTGTACCGCTCCATCTACAGTTGTTTCTCTGCTCGCTCTGAGCGGCTGTGGCAGCCATCTTGCCAGTCTCAACCGACTGCTCTGGAGCACTCTACTGAGCTGTGTGGCGCTATTTGGCCGAGGGGGTCACAGAACATTACCAAACCCACCCCCCAAATGCATATACACCCCTC